TAGGCTAAAGTCCTCCTGTTACGCTGCAGAGATCGCTTGATCCAGCGATTCTAGTTCGATGCGGAACAGGTGGGTCTTGACAGGACCATCTGTCAGACCCTTGATGAACACAATAACCTGCGTGTGTTCATCGATTGGGTTCAGTACGATACAGCTAACGAGGTATCGTACGTGTTGGGCGTAAGCGTGTATATCACGCTTACCCTGTTTCAAATCCAGGATCTCAGCCCGAGCCCTGAATTCGGCGCGAGGTGGTTCAAACGCATGTTTGAGCCGCGCCTTGAAGACATCATACGTTGGGAAAATGTATGGGTCATGCAGTTTGAGCCTTAAGGACCACGTCCTGCCAAGTTCGACATGGAGAGCTTGACCTTCATCGCATCGTCATCGATGCGACGAGCCTTAATAGCATCGTCGATTTCAACAAATTGCCTCAATAGCATCGTCGATTTCGACTGCCTTGTACTTGAAAACATCAATCTTCAAGGACTCGGGTTGACGTGTATACGTCGACCCGGCAGCAACAGCACTATCCTGCTGTTGTCTCAACAGTTCAGACTGTTGAGCACCCTGCTGCATCAACAAGTCAGCTTGATGAGCGCCTTGTTCTATCAACAGGTCAACCTGTTGAATACCTTTCTCCTGTAGCAAGGTGATTTTCTTTACAGCTTCGTCAAGTTTATGTTGTATGAACTTGGCGATGGTTGCATGTTGGTCGTATTCGATAAGAGAGAGCCTCATGGCACCAAGGGCAGGGTTACCGATGGTTTCAGCCAAACGCTGAACCGCATTCCATTCGAGGTCACTCAAATGGCGGAAATCATCACGCGTTGCGTGATGACGTTCATCACCCGCTGGTTCCATAGCGGATGGTGCGGTGGTCGCTGAACGGACCACGAAGTGCTACCAGGTGTATAGGGCACCCTCCGACTATACTGATTACAGTATAGTCTACCTTCACCGATGACAGTGAAAGCAGGTGCCTCAAAACTTCTCTGACAAAAGAGGCAGAGGAAGCTTTACTTCTAAACGACACGCTTAGAAGTAGAGGAAAAGAGAACTGTATTTAATATAGTTAACTATCTAATAAAACTAATCTATTATAACCTATGTTAACTATATTAAACTGCAACTATGTATGTTAACAACTTGCCCTCCACTCATTGCGCGCGTCCATCGGTCATTGGTTAGCGCATTGGTTGATATGATGGCCCATATCAACCAATGAGAAGGCATCTCCAACTTCAAGGAGATTTAAAGACAATATTATAGGAAAAGATAATATTGTCAAATATTGTTAGTTATAATAATATTTATTGACACTTCATATAAGTGTCAATATTATGTAACGGGCTCACCCCGTTACAATATGAGCCCCAACGACTTGGTTTGGTGACTGTGCTATACGATGGGATTTGCACCAGGGCTGATCGTACATGATGTCGCGTAAGAAATCTTTCGAGGATGGTAAATCGAATCACATGAGTGCACGGCGACACGCAGCTGCTATTTACGTTCGCGAAAGGAACGACCAAGCTCTGCAACAGAAAGGGGAGTCAAGTGAAGTGGTGGCTGGTCAAGAGAGAGGAAGGATTACGGACAAGCTCAACGACGGCTGCAAGATGTCAAGACGTGATAGATGCTGGACAGCCGGAATACCTGCGCAGGTGGCAAACCCCAAAAGAAACTTTAATGATCAAGCTGGGCCAGTTTATCCGTTCGAGTAACGTCAGAATATCACGGAGCACCAAAAATGCTGGACGTTCGAAATACGTAGAATTTAATCTTTAAGCTCAGTGTGAAGAAATGAATGCAATGCGGCCCAAGAAACTCACTGGAAGAAATTTCTACAGCTAACATACCACCAGAAGTCAAACCAAAAAATTCCACAACTGGATGATGAAAAATGAGTATCGGAGATGTTCAACGGAATCGTGTCTTGACGATAGTATAGACACAGTACCCGACAAAGCCTTAGGCTTGGCTAGGGGTCCAGCTATGACCCTAATGTATAGCTGGCATAGCCTTTCCAAATACAAAACCTTCTGTTGCCACCTGCAACAAGCTGCTACACCTACATAACTGCAAAAAGCTATCTGCCCTGCACTCCCCACACGATCTTCCTCCGTCAAATGTTGCTCAAGCTCCAGCGGTCTTCATCCGCGTCCATCGCAAGATTGACGAGATTTGTTTGCACCGACGTATCATCCTTGACAAAATGGAACAGGCTCCAATCGAACTCCTACGCAGCCAGAGCTGTGTTGTCATCATCACCCTGCGATGTGTTTGCCTCTTTTTTCTTAATCGGCCCACATCATGTCAATCAGCGCTTCAGACACGTCGGCAGGGTTTTCCACCTGCTCTGCGATATCGACTCTTTACATTCCTGAAGCAACTTTTTTTATGGATGGTTTCTTGTTTCTTTTTCATCTGTGTGATGGCAGCATTGGCAACGCTAACACATTTTTCGCAGGTCTCTCCTGAGCCGATTTGAGATTGCTTTGGCAACTTGCTGGCTGAATATATCATTTGCTGGATCCGATAGCGCGTATTCAACTGGCCGAGGCGCTTGATGGTAATTGCGCTGGGACGATTGTGGCTCTTGGTGTGCGCCTAACACAGAGAAGAGACGTACGCCTGCAGCATGAGGAACGATTTTGTGCAGCTCCAGGGCAAATGCTTTGATTGCGCAAAACTGTTCACAATTGTCTGGAAGGGACCCACAATACGCAAGTGCATGGGTCTGAGAAATAGCCAGGTTAACAAATATGCGAACTCTTTTGCGTAATCCTTCATCATCGTTAGAATTGTGTTTGTACGGGCATGTCGGCGGAGGCAACGGCATCAGAAGTGGTGTCAGGATCCTTCATGTTGGCGCCTGGGAATGTGCTCGATATGTGTTAAGTTGTGGGGTGATGTTACACAGGTAACGGGATACTTTAAATGGGACTCCAAGCATCTACCTATGCATAAATAAATCTTACCAAGTTGTTGGTATTCAGGCAATACCATGGTGCCAAGCTGGCATAGCCATAGGAGCTTTGCCGGGTACACCAGCAGTACTGGTGTACGTTGACGACACTTTACGCTCAGCATACAACAAAGCAGTTAAGGTTGACTTATTTGCAAAGCTGACATTGCGGTACGATATCAAGGATCAAGGAGAGCTCACGGAGTATCTTGGTGTCGAAGTGCAAACGAGTCAAGATGCCATTGTGATAATTACAACAGGGTTATGAGCCCAAATATGCTGGGACCATATTTGGCCTCATAACCCTGTTGTAATTATCACACTTGAGCCACGATGCAATTTCAAGACTGTCGTTCTTTTTTACCATACAAGTCCTACTGTCCTAAAAACATCTCTTCGTGGCTTCTGCCAGTTGGCAAGTACAACTTGGGACCAGGAGTCTGCACGACACTACCTTCAATCAACATGCACCAACTGTCACCAACTATAACCAACATGCACCAAGTGCCAGTGGATGGCATAACCAACATGCACCAAGTGCCATCCACTGGCCATTTAACTTACTCGAACAACATCATCATCATAGGCTTTAATCGTCGGTTGCCTTCCATACGAGCGCAACTAGAATGCTTAATACCCCGATGTTGCATTTTAAAAGAAGGGGTTTGCACTCGCCGAAAGACGACGGGTGTAATTATAGTAAAGTATTGCCCCCACCGCTCGTAAGGGCTACATCAAGGCGACCGAAGATGTGTTAGCATCCGGATCAATTACCGATAGGTTAAAGTCTACTACCAGCTCCCATTCTTAAAAAGCAGATCGGGGCTCCATGGAAATGTAGTGCAAACGAAACTTATTGAAATGAAGACTAGATCACCAGATACCCCCAAGTATATTCAAGGTCATCGATACACCAAACTGGCGCCACGTAGCCGAGCCTTTCTATTTCTTTCGCAGCTATGTGAGTGAATATCTCATCTTTTTTCAGAAGAGGATGAGTCGCAAGGGTACGACGCTAGGGTCTCAACCGCGTTTTGCTCCTTATAATCTTCGGATCGTTGGCGCGTGCCGATCTCTTTATAGTTGACGAGAAAGAGACTGTCGTTAGCAGCTAGAAAATCTGAAAGATGCCGTCATCTCGCTGGCAATCTTGAGCTCTCGGTCAAAATTTCTTCTTGGAAGAAAAAAAACCTTTATAGCGTCGCTCTACAGTCGTCAGAACTGTACGCGGCGTAAGCTATGACATACACCGTACGCGTGAAGCCATCGCAGCTACTCGAGAGCACGATGATTATCATTTGTCCCGTTGCAAATTGATTTCGTCTGGAGCATGTTCACGCCTGAAGGTGGAACTATTTCTAGGCTACAGCAATATAAATGACAATATAAATGACAGGCAATGCTAAAGTACCCTTCAGAGTGAAGACAATATAGCTCCTATATAGAGCTCGTTTCGCTGTATTACTAAGACAGTAAGGCAAATTCGTACCGGTATTTCACAGACGGGATGGGCTCTGCCCAATACGATCCCGTGAGCATACCGGTACTTGTCTCGTTTGACGCTTCGTTTTTAACACTGTGGCAATATATTGCAACTAATCCTTGACGTCGTTTCGTGAGGTGATCACGTAACGGATACCATACCGTCTTAATACCGAGGTCGAACACTTGACCATCCGCGACCTCCTTAACATGCACTGACAATTTGATTGGTAGACAAAACTTGTATGTGGCACGATGACTCGACGTAAAAAAAGCTGTCTTGTCTGCATCATATTAAACAGGGCATACTGCCCCGGTTCTACGTGGCTACAACGGTCTAGGGTAGGGCAACCCAGACCGCATTCAACATATGGTTGTGCTCGAGCCGGGACAACTCGTAACCTTCAATTTAGTAGCCAGTTTAAAGTCACTTTTGCCCTCTATTGCTCATCTTCAGACTTGAATCGACTTACGAGTCGTAGTGATTTCTACGACGAGAACAAGAGCTTTTACGTAGCACTTGTAGTAATAATAGACCTGTGTGGTTATGGCGGCCAAACGCAGCACATCTCGTATCTTTCATGACTTACGAGATGAAGACGAAGGTTCTTCACTCGATGGTAGCGTGGAACCTGTTGTCTTGTCGTCCAACCAGAACGACAGCGCTCTTGGCTCGAGTACTAGTGGTTACAATACGCTCGGGAGTCCAGCTTTGCTCCAATCACCGAGACAAGTACGCTGCAAGGGCAAGAAGATTGATGTGGAGCAGATTTTAAACGAAGATGAGCTTGTGGACTATTCGTCGCAGCATACGCCGGGATCTTCTGCTGGCAGTGTCCATAGAGATGAGAATACGGAGCTGAGAGAAGTGTTTTTTAACTATGCACCGGGCAATGTTGCCTTTGACAAGTGCTCGAATATTGTCGTGACATCAAAGTATTCCCTTGTGACGTTCTTGCCCAAGTTTTTGAAAGAAAGTTTTACCAAAGTGGCCAATTTCTTCTTCCTTATGGTCTGCGTCTTGCAGAGTATCCCCAGCATCAGCAATACGTACGGATATCCGACCAATGCACCAGTCTTGTTCTTTGTCATCTCTATTGATGCCGTGTTTGCAGTCATGGAAGACTTACGGCGACATACATCCGACAATGAAGCCAACTCAGCAGTATGTCATGTCATTCAGGATGGACAGATTGTGGACAGGAAATGGGCAGATATTAAGGTTGGAGACTTTTTACAGATCCGGAATCGAGAAGTTATTCCTGCAGATGTACTTGTGCTTGCAGTCGCAGAGCCTGCAGGTGAACCTTCGAGCGGCATTTGTTACGTGGAGACCAAGAGTCTGGATGGAGAAACAAACCTCAAACTGCGACAAGCTGTGGCTGCTACGATGAACTCATTGTCAAACCCGGCAGAATTGGCCGTGCTGCGCGGTGTCGTCAAATGTGAACAGCCCAACCCACACATTAACAAATTTGCAGGCAAAGTAGAAATCACGGTATGTGATGGTGGTGGTGTCGAGGTCATGCCGCTTTCGGTCAAGAACGTGCTGCTACGAGGCTGCAACTTGCGAAATACGGACTGGGTATTTGGACTTGTGCTTAACACGGGCAAAGACACAAAGATCATGCAGAGTTCTAGTGCAGCGCCGTCCAAATGGAGCGATCTTATGCTTAGCATTAATCGAATGATCGTTGTCCTGTGCTTAGGACTGTTTGTGGCTTGTGCCGTGGCTGCTTCTTGCTACATCACATGGCAGACAGAAATTGTACGCGATACGTGGTACATTCAGCTTTCGGATGCGGAGAGAGACCGGTCGCGCTTTGTGGCGTTTATTCAGATGATGTTTTACTATTTCTTGCTGCTCTACCAGGTGATTCCTATCTCGTTGTACGTATCCATGACAAGTGTCAAATTCTTACAGTCACGATTCATGTCGTGGGACCTTGAGATGTATCATGCTGAGACAGACACGCCTGCTATCGTGCGAACTATGGAGCTAAACGAAGAGCTGGGCCAGATTTCCTACATTTTTAGCGACAAGACGGGAACGCTAACATGTAACATTATGGAGTTTCGCAGGTGTTCCATTAATGGCACTTCATATGGCTCCGGTATGACGGAAATTGGACGCGCTGCACTGACTCGTGCTGGAAAGCCGATTCCATCGGAGCCTAAGCTGGACCCGAGCGTCAAGAAACTACCGTTTGTGAACTTTGTTGACGAGACACTGTTCGACGGAATGAAGGGAAGTGCTGGTGAAGAGCAAAAGGAGAAGATCCTCCAGTTTTTCGAGCACCTTGCTGTATGCCACACAGTGATCCCTGAAAAGCTAGAGTCTGGAGAAGTTCGTCTATCAGCGTCATCTCCTGATGAACAGGCTCTTGTGGCTGGCGCAGCCTTTGCAGGGTTCAAGTTCAAAAGTCGTAGTGTAGGAACCGCGATGGTGGAGGTTCTAGGAGAACGCGTGACCTATGAGGTGCTGGACGTGCTCGAGTTTAACAGCACGAGAAAGCGCATGTCTGTTGTCGTGCGCAAATCATCAGGGGAGCTGTTGCTCTACACGAAGGGAGCTGACATGATGATTTATCAACGCTTGAAGGATGGCCCTGCAATGCAAAAACTCAAGAATATTACACGAGACCATATGGAAAAGTACGCCGACGATGGCTTGCGTACGTTGGCGCTTGCCATAAAGAAGCTTGATCCGCACTGGTTCCAACAATGGAAGGTGCGATTCGATGATGCACAGGGTAACGTGGCCGAAATCGACCGACGCAAAGATGGGAAGCCAAATGCTATTGATGATCTGATGGAAGAAATTGAACAAGGACTGGAGCTGATTGGAGCGACGGCAATCGAAGATAAATTACAGGAGGGTGTTCCGCAATGCTTGGCAAATTTGACGAAAGCTGGCATCAAGGTCTGGATGCTTACGGGAGACAAGGAAGAGACTGCAATTAACATCTCGTATGCATGCTCACTGCTCGGTAACTCGATTCAGCAAGTCGTTGTAAATGCCACCACATGCCCGGATGAGGAAACGCTCCGTACAAAACTGAATACAGCAGCTCGTGAGTTTATGGACAATGCGAAAGGAATGGCGGGTGGAACCGAGAAGGAAATCTCGCTAATTATTGACGGCGAGGCATTGGAGATGGCGCTTCGTCCTGAAATCGCGCCACACCTGCTGTCATTTGCCAAGTTATGTCGTGCCGTGATCTGCAACCGTGTATCTCCTGCTCAAAAGGCAGAGATGGTGAAGCTTGTAAGGGACAATATCACTTCAGTACGAACTCTAGCTATTGGTGATGGAGCCAACGATGTTGCTATGATCCAGGCTGCTCATGTCGGTGTGGGCATTTCTGGACAGGAAGGTATGCAGGCAGTGAACTCAAGTGACTATGCTATTGCCCAGTTTCGATTCCTGGAACGGCTGTTGCTTGTTCACGGACGTTGGAACTACATCCGCATTTCTAAACTGGTTCTGTACATGTTCTATAAGAACATTACACTTGTCCTGGCGCAGTACTGGTACGGCTACCTATCGGGCGCTTCTGGATCAAAAATGTACTGGGAAATCGGTGTTCAGCTGTATAACATTGCCTTTACGGGTCTGCCTATTGTCGTGGTGGGTGTTTTGGATAAGGACCTGCCAGCACCATTCAGCATCGAGTACCCGGACTTGTACCGTCGCGGCCCAGATCGATTCTTTTTTAACATGTACACCTTCTTTCGCTGGGTCGCTGCTGCTTTCTATGAATCGCTGGTTATCTTTGTGGTAATGTCTTATGGATTCAACGCGTCCGACAAGGCGGCAGGCAGTGAGTCTCGAGTGGAATTCGGCATGATTGCATTTTCGCTGACAGTTTTGATCGTGAACATTAAGATTTGGATGATCGCGGATCGATGGACAGTCCTGTCGTTTTCATTATGGTTTGGCAGTGTGATGGCATGGTTTGTTTTCGCAACCATAGGCACCCAGACTCCCTACATTGCGACATTCAAGGTCGGCTACGACGAGTATGGAGCGTTTATTCCCACTGCCAAAAATTGGGGATACCTCCTAGTGCTGATCATGGGATGCGCGTTGGCGCTCGGTCGTCACATTGCGTATAACCTTTACCAGCGTACGTTCCACCCAGATCTTGCACAGCTTCTTCAGGAAACAATGGGAGGCGCAAAGTACAAACGTCGTCTCACTATTAACCACGTGGAAGAGCAAACGTTGTCAATGTCCTTGGACGACGTCCATGCAACCAGTTACTTGACCGATTTCGGCCACACTGATGCCGAGATTGTCAAGGCTCAGCACCATGAACAGCAGCGAAACAAGAGTCTGTCAAGCACTGCCGGTACATTTGCAGTATCCGGCAATTGCGGCGTCCCAGACAGCTATTCAACCAGTGTATATCGCGACTCTATGTCCGAGGACGGTAACCGCGTTCCAACAAAGATGTTCCATCCAACAACAACGAATCAACGTACTACGGGTTATGCCTTCAGTTGTGACGAAGAGACGACGTTAGCCGAGTCGTATATTGCCTCCAATTCGTGTCGGCTCTCCGATGCTATCTCAACAGCTATGCGCAACTCAACTTCAAGTTAATGAGAGACACGGTCTCCAATACATTGAGCTGACTCGATTGTACTCACGTTTCGACAATGACCACGAATCGATCATTCACCAGTTTTGACAAGGATCAGCTCTACAATCTCTGTATGTGGGAATTGGAAACCTGCTTACATTCCGTCGAGTATCGTTCGATGCCCTGTGGCCGCTAAATAAAGAGCGATTTTTTTTCTTGTCTAACTTGGCATTCTTTTTTTCAGTCTACCATGTAGATGTAGCCATCTGAAACGACGGTGAGGACTATAGAGTGGTACATGGTACCATCCATATGCACGACGTCAGTGACCATCATTCTGTTCATTTCTAAAATTTCTAAATAATGAGCGCATGGGAACAATGGGAAGGCAAGAAACCGACGTCAAGCGGATTGCAGGACACCCAGGACGCCTTTCATAGTTTATTACGCACATATTCTTTATCTACCGTGTCCAACAGTAGCATCGATAGCAAAAGTAGCGCCAGTTTCTCGCTGAAAAAGGCGTGGAACACGGCACGCGACCTTACAAAAAATGCAGTGGAGACTCCGACCGTTTCTAATGATGCAGCGGACGTCATGGAAAATGGACAGATAAACAAGACAATAAACAATGAAACAGCGGTTAAGTGGCCGTTTCTGTGGGAGAGAGAGTCTACTGGTCAAAGTATACGAACTTCAACCATGAGTTGGTGCGTGATTACGTCATTGAGAATGAATGAGGGAAGAAAAAGGACTAATGCAATGTACTGATACAAGGCATACAAGATTCAAGTATTTTGTCGGCATGGCGATGCTTGGGATGCTGTTCTTTGGCATGGCAGTTATTTTCTTACCATTGGTACGTACATGGGGCTTTGTGGCAGAGAGAGAGAGAGCAAGTTGTATAATGCTATTTAGTACTGCTGGATGTCTTGGTAGATTATGGTTCGACCATCGAAATTTGCCTTGAGTTTTACACTCGGCAGTATGTGCTCAATGGGTGCTTTTGCCATGCTTAAAGGTCCAACAGTGTACATTTCCGGACTTTTGCAACCGAATCGATTGCTGTTGACCAGCATGTACTTTGCGACGCTTGGTAAGATCGGATGCGTGGATGAATGAGTGTCAAAGACATGGTTGAAAATGACAATGAGGCTCCTGATACTGTAGGGTGTACGCTGTATAGCTGTTTGATCCTGAAGGACTACGTGTTTGTGGTGGTAAGCTCTGTCATGCAGTTGATGACATTGGGATCGTTCGCATTGTCTGCATTCCCTGGTGGTAACGTGAGCTTGAAAGGTGAAAAGTTGAAGCAGTTGAACAATGTTTATGTGGAAGGATCCAGCAATGTATGGCTTTGATTGTTGTTGTTAACTAATGTTGGCTTATCTCACTTGGGTGTATGCAGCTTTTGGTGCGTTGTTCTGGAAATCAGCGCGCGGCATGATACAAGTGATTGGTCGTCTTTTTCGGTAAACTTATTGAAAATGGTTGACAATCAACGCGACAACGTAGGAACTGCATGCAGAAAAGTCTGTCGCTTGGCAGCAATCTCTCCATCAATAACAGGCTTGATTCACATGATATTTGCAGAGCAGCAATTTTTGCTAGGAACCACTTATTTAGTCTGACCAGAACGACTCTGAACTGATTGAACGCCGGTATAGTCAGGAGAAACATGCATTGCGATTCGGTGCCGCCGTCATGGAATGCGTTTTGCTCGACCTCACCAATGTTGTAGCGCATGAATTAAGTCCAGTCCTGAGAGGTCGACAATCTTCTTATTACGCTCTCTTTTAGCGTGAAAAGTACGTCAGTAACGTCCTTCCCGTATCTGCAAGCGTTCGTCCGGAAGCAAAGAGACGTGCTTTATTACCCTTAAGAGCGTTATTACAGCATGACCCTTCACTACCAACTACAACATGCCCGATCTTCTAACTAGATTCTTGTTTCTCTTAGTGTTATGATCATAGTGACCGAACTTATCCACTCCTGTCATCAAGGCAGCACTTTGGTCCATCACACGGATGTTCATGTGTAAGCTGAACACCTTGCTATTTGTAGCTGCTCTCAGCGGAGCGCTGATCTGGTGGACGACGTCGACATTTGCCTGTGCTTGAGGAAGCAGTGATAGCCTGGGATGTATATCGAGATTATTGCGTCGAGAAGTATTTTCCATAGAATTGATTAGAGACCCTATTCTGGCTTTGCTTGCCATATGTGGATATTGAAGACCGACCACGATAGGTGGGGTCGTCTATCATCCACTACCGTAGGTGTTGTGGAAGTAGCTGGAGCTGATGTCTTCACAAAAAGAAGCTTGAGGTCTGTTACAGAACAATAGATAGCGATGGGCAAAATACATACACTATAATGTCGGCATCGTGTTCAAGTCACTAAAAGATTATTACAATGACTGGTCAAGGATATTTGAAGCAGCGAAACCACAAAAATTCTCCTCTCTCCAAAGGCTATGCGCACAAACCGCAGAATCAGCAACCTCAATGGGACAAGCAACCCGAGTACTTGTTCAGAATGATCTCCACCTCCTGATATCGAGGATAATTCGCATCCGCAGCTTTCTAATGCGCTTCTATCCACCAATTCTTTATCCGCTGTTGTTTTCATTGTACGCACTTGCACACTTTCTAAACAGAAAGATTATCTAATCAAGTTCTCTATACCAGCGTCTTTGATTTCTTCCATAAGATGCTTGGTAATGTCAGGATTTCGTTTACGTTTGATCTGGTCCAACAAAGTGAGCTGGCCAAAATGCTTTTCCAGTACCGACAACATCGATACTTTGTCGGCCTCTTGTTTTACCCAAGAGTTGTAATAGATAACGTACTTGGTCCAAAAGTGAAACAAACGGTTGTCAAAAAGTTTGTCTCCGTCCTCGTTAAGACGAAGCTCCTTAAAAGCATCATTCGGAGAATAATTTCGAAAAAGGAAGCCCTTTTCTATTTTCTTTAGCACGCGCAACGCGATTTCGTCGTTTGAAACCTTGACCGCAGCTTTTGCCAAATCCTCCATATTAATGTTTTTGAGTTCTTCCATAAGATGCTCGGTGATTTCAGAATTTTGTTTAATGCTGATCTGGTCCAACAAAGTGAGCTGGTCAAAATGCTTTTCCAGTACCGACAACATCGATACTTTGTCGGCCTCTTGTTTTACCCAAGAGTTGTAATAGATAACGTACTTCGTCCAAAAGTGAAACAAACGGTTGTCGAAAAGTTTGTCTCCGTCCTCGTTAAGACGAAGCTCCTTAAAAGCATCATTCGGAGAATAATTTCGAAAAAGGAAGCCCTTTTCTATTTTCTTTAGCACGCGCAACGCGATTTCGTCGTTTGGAACCTTGACCGCAGCTTTTGCCAAATTTCTCACGTTGTAAAATCCCAGCAATCTGTTGAGCAAGGGTGTGGGCATATTAGCTTCATTCAAAGCGTCTATGTACTGAACCCAGTAGACCAGTTGCGGTTGTTCGAAAAGCTTGTCTTCTGCATTTTGCAGCCCAAATAGTATAAAATCATCCGTGGAATCTACACCATCATTTAAACAGTCATTGTTAGCTTTTTCATAGATCAATGATGGGATATTTACGCTTTTCACCTTTTTTCGTTGGCATGGTCAGCGACTTTTCCTTGTTCGCTTTGGCCAAAAAATCATTCACCATAGTTTTACGAATCTTGGCTGGCCTGTTCTCGGATTCCAATATATCTGCCGGACGTTTTAAGGTATTCGAGGTATCTGACGCACTTTCGAGGGGATGCGAGATTGTGATCGCAGGTTCAATTTTTTCTGCCGAGCTTATGATTTCTTCGACTAGGGGACTCGTCCTTTCGTAGTCGTCTTTATCATGTGCGCGTTCTTGGACCCTCAAGTGTCTCTGGACCTCAAATTGGCCATCTGAGGTGACGATGTCCGACGGCTCTGCGTGTGCACCAACAGCCACTGGACGGGTAGCAACAGCGAACAGTATCGGGACACAGGGAAGGCGCATGGTTTGGTTGGGTAGACGTGCTTGAGGGTTGGCGGCTAAGTTCAGTTTTGATAAAGGGCGACTGAAGGAGAGGTACGAGATTACGAGCTGATTCGATTTGAGAAAGATAGACGAGTCTATCTAGGTTGCGGTCGATTCTAATCCTAGTTAGCATCGCTGGACTGTGTTCAAGCCCCGACTCTCGAGATTGTCTGGCTATGGCACGTTGGCATATCATCAGACGGGTTCCTTGTATTTTTGTGTCGGTTCGCCGGCACTCTCGCTTCACAATGGCTCGAGATTCTCTCATGTTGGTTTCCCAAAATTCATAAATGCTGCCGGCGATGGCCACGTCGGCTTGCTGGGATGTTACTCATTTGCATTGTGGCGCAAAGGCTGCTCAGGATGTGCCATAGGCGCTCCAACCTCGTCAGATTATCACGGATTAGCTGTTCATGGGTCATCTTGGATAGTCCTGACGAGCGTCTGCTTGCACGTAAGCTTTGAAGACGTCCAATCTCCCATCTTTCTGCTATCCAATGGCATACAAGCTTCTGCCCAGCAAGCTAAGTCTTTCTTCACTCCTTAGCAGTACTGGAGCTTATGGCAACTATTGTCTTAGTCTCGTGCTCGTAGCCCATAGATTGATGGCGTCTACTGCAAGCTACTTTCTGCCAAGCAATCCCCGCGCTGAGTCCTGGAGTGTCTCTAGAGTTCTTGTCAGTGCCCTTTCTGGACCTTTGTACCGACCAAATTGTTGTTTCTTCAAGGCCACAATACAGTAGTACGTGTATATTGTAGTGCGTGTTTGTTCGTGATAGAGTCAAACACACTCCATAGAATCCGTAGATGAGTGGATTCGCATAGAACACGATGCTCTTGCATCATGGTTCTTTTGGAGCCTCTGACAGTCGGCTACCGTCCGCTGATCTTCATCGATGTAGTTTGCGGCAAACCTCCAATGAATTTCATTGCTTTCTTGCTTTCTTGCTGTAGAGCGATGACGCTCCGCTGGTCTGGGTCTGAGTTCACTGTTATGCCGCTGATGCAGTCCGTCGTGGGTATTCTTCCCATGTGTAAGCATATGTCATCTACGTGGGATGGTGTGGTAGTAGGTCCGCGCGTACTTGAAGCCTTCCACCCAATACCAAATACACTTCAGCCCAAAACGAAACCTCATTCAAAAGAGGTTTTGTTAAGATGATTGAAGCTACGAAGCACGGGACGACTGATATCATCAAAGCCAACTGATAAGAAACAATAAGTGAAAAGTCAATTGCATGAGGTGTGTGTTCGCCTTCCCGAAAGTAGCCATCACATCTGTTTACTGACATGGAAGTTAGAGTACAGTACGAAAACGATAGGAAATTCAAAGTTTACGTCGATAGTTACAGTGACGACATCTTCAAAGCCAGCCACGAAGTTGTAATCAATCACTGTTATTTTATATTCCACTCAAAATGGTCTCTTGCTCCCCAACAATGTCCACTACGCGTCTTGCAGAGTATCCCAAGCATCAGCAATACGTACGGATATCCGACCAATGCACCAGACTTGTTCCTTGTCATCTCTATTGATGCCGTGTTTGTAGTCATAGAAGGATAACGGCGACATACATCCGACAATGAGCCAACCCAGCGGTATGTCATGTCTATCAGGACGGGCAGCTTCTTTAGGAAACAATGGGAGGCGCAAAGTACAAACGTCGTCTCACTATTAACCACGTGGAAGAGCAAACGTTGTCAATGTCCTTGGACGACGTCCATGCAACCAGTTACTTGACCGATTTTGGCCACTCTGATGCCGAGATTGTCAAGGCTCAGCACCATGAACAGCAGCGAAACAAGAGTCTGTCAAGCACTGCCGGTACATTTGCAGTATCCGGCAATTGCGGCGTCCCAGACAGCTATTCAACCAGTGTATATCGAGACTCTATGTCCGAGGACGGTAATCGCGTTCCAACAAAGATGTTCCATCCAACAACAACGAATCAACGTACTACGGATTATGCCTTCAGTTGTGACGAAGAGACGACATTAGCTGAGTCGTATAATGCCTCCAATTCGTGTCGGCTCTCCGACGCTATCTCAACAGCTATGCGCAACTCAACTTCAAGTTAATGAGAGACACGGTCTCCAATACATTGAGCTGACTCGATTGTACTTACGTTTCGACAATGCCTTGTCAAAACTGGTGAATGATCGATTCGTGGTATCAGATCTACAATCTCTGTATGTGGGAATTGGAAACCTGCTTACATTCCGTCGAGTATCGTTCGATGCCCTGTGGCCGCTAAATAAAGAGCGATTTTTTCTTGTCTGACTTGGCATTCTTTTTTTCAGTCTACCATGTAGATGTAGCCATTTGAAACGACGGTGAGGACTATAGAGTGGTACATGGTAGCATCCATATGCACGACGTCAGTGACCATCATTCTGTTCATTTCTAAAATTTCTAAATAATGAGCGCCTGGAAACAATGGGAAGGCAAGAAACCGACGTCAAGCAGATTGCAGGTGTAACAGCATAACCATTAAGTAATATACTTAATGTAAGGTCTAAAAGTATCCATGATTACTTTTGACCTGTCACTTGGGTGCGATACACAAACGTGATCCACCCTCGTGAATGTGATATCCATTTTATGGATTCACATGGGAAGGGATGACGCTAATTGAAGCTAGGCATCGCGACGTCTCAGAAGGACGTCAGTTGCGATCTTAAATCTAGATTTAAGTTCATGCGACAGGATACGCTTCTAAAGAGTCGCGTATCCGATCTATATGTATATAGCCAATCAGTAGTTAAGTTTATATTTTAATTATAATTCATTAAATGTAGCTCAGTCTTGAATTTACTTAAACATACGAACCACACACGAGAAGTTGAAAGACTTCTGCGTGACGTCGGTGTTCTAAGTGTTAAGAAGTTCGTTGCACTCTCGCTTAAGCGAGAGGCAACTGGTGGTACGACTGCTTAAGCAGTCGACCAACCTCCCAACCACCCTCGCACGCGAAGGTAAGACGGTTTAACCGCTTCCTCGCTTGAGCTGAAGGTGTGTGCTAAGTAGCACGAGGCAGCTTCGTAGAAGCGACCGTTTACACTTGGTAGCACTAGTAGTCCTTCCCACGACCCGTCTCTCTGAGCGTGCGTGTGGTTGACATGGTCCTTAATATGGACTGGAGTGACTTCCCTCACCTCTCCCAACATCATAGGGAGTTGGCAGAGCATATGGCGCAGGGACTTGGTGAACAAGCCCTGGTCAACCTCTTGCATTTTCCTCCTGAGCAACATGTTGCTCAGTTGGAGCAATTTGAGACGTTTGTGCTCGGACAGCGTAGAAACGCGTCCGAGGTAAACAGCCAAGCCACCGCTGAGTCCATCACTAAGACTCAGGATGAGCTTAGGCTTGAGCAGGCACGTAATGAGGCGCTCAACAGAATTGTTGAGACTCTCTCTGCCCAGCCTGCTCAACCGAGGCCCATTCGGATGAACACTCCGAAGTTTGATGGAACTACCCCTCACACGATTGTTCACTGGCTATTAGAAGTTGAGCAAGGTGAAGTGGATCAGCTCGAGAAGACGACACCAGAATGGTGTCGTATGCCATGTCGAATTTGCGTGGCAAAGAGTCAGAGTGGGCATACTCTGCGCGGATGGCAAATGCTGATGCATTTTCATCATGGGTGATCTTTAAGGAAAAGATTCGTGCCATGTATCAGCCGCCTAACAACGAAGTGTTGCTTATGGCGCGCTTCTTTGGAAAACGACAGGCGAAACGCTCTCTGCAAGAATTTGTGCAGGAAGATGCGTTCGCTGTCGGCGTCCATTGATGGGGAACCGATACCAGAGCGTATCAAGGTGGCCACGTTCATGAATGGACTTAGGCACGGCCCGTCACGTCAGGCCCTTTTCCGAAAGATGCCAGCGACGATGGAAGAGGCAATTGACATTGCCTTAGCTGAGGAGAAATCATACAACATCGCCTCGGAGACAGCCTATTACAGGCCGTCGACCGAGAAGGCTGATGCCACTCCTATGGAGTTAGGCAATGCAGATGTGTTCTGCTACAAGTGCGGCAAGCGCGGCCATATGATGGCTCGCTGCTACGCCAAAGTAGCTGCTGGTGCTAAGGCAGCCAGCAAAAGGTCTCCCAACCCGAAGGGAGGTGCGAAAAACCAGCGTGCACGACGCACGGGTTCAGCACCTGCCCAAGATGGGTCGGGAAATGCGGGAGCGCAGTAGGGCGGGACGCCCTACTGTCGCGGACTCTGAAGCTACCACTATGTTCAGAGTGATCGAAAAAACGGGTAGCATAGTTTTCTGAGGTTCCGAAAGGTCGGAACTCAACACTTTTGGTCTATAGCGCTCGAGTACGAGGCTATGACCAAGTGATGACCCTTCTCGTGGATTCGGGTGCACCAAAGTAATTTGTGAAACTCGCGGCTCTGAAAAAGAGACCGGCTAGTTATGAGTCGCTTTGCCACGATGGCAAGCGAGAAGAGGCGATCGTTCGTTTAGCGAACGGCGCGCTCGTTAAATCAGAGGGAGTTCAAGTTGAGCTCGCCTTCAGTTTCAGTGACTTCTCTTGTAAAGAGAAGTTCACAGTGCTAGGTATGGAGAGTCCGTATGAACTCATCCTAGGCATGCCTTGGTTGGCTAAACACCAACCATGGATAGACTGGCGTACACACACAGTCGATAGCTCTACGCAAGACACCGGAAAGGATGTGCTCCTGCGAGAGGCTTATGTGGCTGATGCTGTTTTTAACACATTCTTGGGTGCGATGACGGTTTGCCAATTGACTCCGGGTACTATCAGCCCGTTGAACCTGGAGTAGTTGCAAGTGCCCTGGCAGAAATCCAGGTGACACATATTCCCACCCAGGTCGAAAAGACTGGTGTAGTGAATGGGGCGATGACAAGTAGTCATGCGTCCAATAGTCCTGCAAAACGCTGAGATCCTGCGGCAGTTGATAGTGGGCTGACAGGAAGTCAAGCACCACAAGAACCGGCGCAGAGCCATGAGCCTGGTGAGGTTGGAAGGAGTGGGTTAGCTGAGATAGCAACGACACTTTCTTCCAGGCCAAAGGTCGTGGTGACTCAAAGAACGAGCACCAGACGTATTAAGACGATCAAGGGCACGTCGAAACGAGTGACCCTTGGATCAGTATCGGTCCAAAAGGACGGGCCTACGAACGTGTTGTTCGAGGCCGTCGAAGATAAATGCCGGAGGCCCTCAGTTGAGGTGCTACAACTTGTCTTGGCATCTGCCGACGAGATAGTAATCTCTCGGAGATGACGTGGGATACATTCCTGTCCGAACTAAAGGAAGGAAATGTGGTTGAGTGGATTCTCAAACAACGTAGTAGATCCACAAACACACACAGCGCCGGACTGCCGACTTACGGAGGGGGTACCCCGATACCGTGTCGTATTGGCCTTGGGTCTCACCTTGTGTACCTGTCGGCTTGGCTGGTCTTGCTCCTCGGTTGACGCAGAAGACGTAAAGACTTGGTCTTGTTGTGGTGAAGTGCCAGGGAAAGTTGGAGTTTAAGGGAGATGGAACGAAGAGCAAGAGAACTTCTGTTCACTTCCCCGAGGGAGTGACCACGACCCGGCCTCGCGGATTTACAACCACACACCAGGCCCCGCCGTATTAAGAATATAAGGACCCATGCGTGCGGAGTCAGCACAGGGCCCAGAGGTACAGGGGCCCAGGGACCCAGGGCCTAATGTCCGAGGGTGCAGAATCGGTACACAAAATATCGAAGATTACAGAAAGTACAGGTACCAAGGAGCCAGTTCTTCCTCCAAGAGTCGACACGGGGCACTATCTAGATCAAAGGGTTAGGGTTAGGCAAGAAATGCATACAAAGTATAAGGTAAATAAACACACTCGAATTTGCTTTACACGTGGCAGCTACAAGCGCTTCCTCCAAGCTTCTACGTCGCTTCACCTCTTCCGGGCGGGATACCCTTTGCCCCCCCCCCCCGACGTCCAGCAGGTGTTAGACGGCTCAAGAAACGAAAGTTGAACCTCAGGATAGTTGGCCTGAGGTTTCAAGTAAGTGTCAACACTCTACGACCTGCTACAGGAAGCGGTTTCCCTACGGGGAAGAACACAAAGGGGTCCAAGGACCAAGAACAGTCAGCCACCAAAGGGGTACATAGTATCAGGTGCATCGCTCTCGACTAAGTCGATTGAGCCCAAGAAACCCGGTCCCAAGTGAAGTATATCCACTCGGGGACCACCAAGTCCAAGTCCTATACAAAGACCAAGTCTTTACGTCTTCTGCGTCAACCGAGGAGCAAGACCAGCCAAGCCGACAGGTACACAAGGTGAGACCCAAGGCCAATACGACACGGTATCGGGGTACCCCCTCCGTAAGTCGGCAGTCCGGCGCTGTGTGTGTTTGTGGATCTCCTACGTTGTTTAAGAATCCACTCCACCACAATGGTGCGCGTGCCCGGATCTTCGGGAGACGCGGGATTTCACCGTGAGTCCCACGAAGAAGAAAAGACAACGGTCAAGACAGACCAAGGGACGACCAAGACACTGGAAACCGGATCGCCAGTGATTAAGAAGGAAGAAGGATCGGAGGACCTGCAGAGCCCGGGGAGGAGCTCTGCTATTGAGGCCAAGGTGGAATATGAAGAAAAACCACAAAATCCTCCCCCTTATGTCTTCGTGGAAGAAGACAATATGGGCCATAATAAAATATTATGGTCCAGGGGTCCCAAGTTTGACAGCGAAAGCTAAAAAACAAGGGACCCCGAAGCAAGTCTCCCAACCTACCACTCAAGAGCCAAAGGTGCCCAAGAACAAGCAAAAGAAGCAGAAGCATACCAAGTTGAAGGCACCCAGAGGCGGAGACACGACGGACGAGTCGGGAGAGAGCCAAGGCGTGGCTAGTAAGGACTGGACAGAAGAATATTTGGAAGAAGCCTACCATCGGAATAAATGAAGAATTTTCTCCGAAAGGACCCGGTGATGAAGGCGCTCAAGGTCAAGCTTATGAACCAGGTCCACGGTCCGATAACGGCTCTTCCCACCACGACCACAGACCTGGAGGTCCTCAAGGACGTAATGAATCTGCTACATGAAGCTGGGATGGATG